CGCTCTTGTGCTGTCTGGGGCATCCCTTGAGCCTCTCTGATGACCCCTCTGATCGCTCTGGGTCTGCTGGCAAGGCGTTTGTGGAGGCCCGGAAAGCCGGGTGACTTTTTCCAAGGACGTCCCAGGGAGCCCGAAGACCCCAGATCCCGGGGATCCAGTTTTGGGAGGGGGGGGGATGGGCTTTCCCCCCCCCCGGGCTTGTCAAAATATATAGGAAGATACATATACATATACATATATATATATATATATATATATATATATATATATATATATATAATATATATGTGTATACATATATATATATATACATAATACATACATACATACATACATACATATACATACATGCATGCATGCATAATACATACATACATGCATACGTACACACATACATACATACATACATACATACATACATGCATACATACATGCATACATTACATTACATTACAATACATTACATTACATTACATACATTACATTACATTACATACATTACATTACATTACATTACATTACATTACATTACATGACATTACATTACATTACATTGCATTACATTACATAACATTACATTACATACATACAGACATACAGACATCCAGACATACATACAAACATATATATATATGTATATATATATATATATATATATATATATATACATATACATATACATATACATATACATATACTTATACATAAACATATACATATACATATATATATATGTACATATGCATATACATATACATATACATATGCATGTACATACACATGTACATATACATATACATATACATATACATATACATATACATATACATATACATATACATATACATATACATATATATACGTATACATATACATATACATGTACATATACGTATGTGTGTATATATATATGCATATATACATATACATAAACATACACCTATACATATACATATACATATACATATACATATACATATACATATACATACACATATACATATGCATAAAATAAACACACACACACACACTCCCCCCCAAAAAAACGTTGCCCCAAAATGCTCGAAAAATCGTCCCCAGACTATTTCTTGACAATTCTTGACTATCCCTCCTGCAGAGGGCCACGCCCGCGGCCGCCCTGGGGGAGGGGAGGCGGCGCAGGGGGGGGGGGGGGGGCGGCGGCCCCCCGAGGGCGCCAGGCGCCCCTGGGCTGGGGCCTCGCGCCCTGGCTCGAGGCATCGGCGATGCATCGACGACGTCGGGGAGGAGGAGGAGGAGGAGGGGAGGAGGAGGAGGAGGAGAGGAGGAGGAGGAGGAGGAGGAGGAGGAGGAGGAGGAGGGAGGAGGAGGAGAGGAGGAGGAGGAGGAGGAGGAGAGGAGGAGGAGGAGGGGAGGAGGAGGAGGAGAAGGAGGAGGAGGAGGAGGAGGAGGGGAGGGAGGAGGAGGAGGAGGAGGAGGAGGAGGAGGAGAGGAGAGGAGGAGGAGGAGGAGGAGGAGGAGGAGGAGGAGGAGGAGGAGGAGGAGGAGAGGGAGGAGGAGAGGAGGAGGAGGAGGAGGAGGAGGAGGAGGAGGAGGGAGGAGGAGGAGGAGGAGGAGGAGGAGGAGGAGGAGGAGGAGGAGGAGGAGGAGGAGGAGGAGGAGGAGGAGGAGGAGGAGGAGGAGGAGGGGAGGAGGAGGAGGAGGAGGAGGAGGAGGAGAGGAGGAGGGAGGAGGAGGAGAGGAGAGGAGGAGGAGGAGGAGGAGGAGGAGGAGAGGAGCAGGAGGAGGAGGAGGAGGAGGAGGAGGAGGAGGAGATGGAGAAGGAGGAGGATGCAGCGGCGACGTCGGCGTGAAGAACATCTGCCTCCACTCGGTGGCGAGCGAGGGGGGGAGGTGAGGAGGAGGAGGCCTCCTCAGAGGGCGGCGGGGCTGAAGACCTCTGGCCTCCTGAGGAGGTGGGAGGAGCTCAAGGGGCGGGGCGTGCTCTCCCGGGGCGGCGCTCCCGCCGCCCCATGCGGAGCCTGCGCTCCTTGGCAGCCTCCGCCTACGAGCTGGTGGACGGCGGCCTCGCGAGCGTGCTGGGCATTCCGCAGCAGGCCGGGCGTCGCGCTGTATCCTGCCGGATGCCGCCATGCGGTTGCGGCGGCGTGGGTGGTGCTTGGGCCCCCTCCTGTGGGGCCGGCGGGGCCTATGGGGCCGGAGGGGCTCTGTGGAGCCGGCGGGTGTGGCTCTCCGCCTGGCTCCCCCCCCCCTTCCCCCTCCCTTCCCCTCCTTCCCCTTGCTCCTCTCCTCTTCGCCTGCCCCCTCTCCCCTGCCCCCTCCCCTGCCCCCTCCCCTGCCCCTGCTGACCTCCTGCCCTCGTCGCTACGTGCTGGACGCGGCTCGTCCTCCCCTGCGGGGCGCCTCAGGCAGGCTTTCGCCGAGTCCCATCCCGCTCGTCTCTCCTCTGCCTCGTCCCCCTCCGCCCGGTTTCCTCGGGCCTTTGGGCCCTAGGGTCGCTGATGTGATCGCCTGGGTGGTGGCGCTCTCCTGGCGGCGTGAGGCATGAACATGCCTGCGCAATT